TTCCACCAAATGACAGACAACATCAAGATGGCCGTTCTGAGCTGCACTGAACAATGGAGTTGCACCGCCATTGGCTGCTCGATCTTTGTCAGCACCAGCTTGCACCAAATGACGGACAACATCAAGATGGCCTTCCTGAGCTGCAATGAACAATGGAGTTGCACCGCCATTCGCTGCTCGATCTTTGTCAGCACCAACTTCCACCAAATGACGGACAACATCAAGATGGCCCACCGCAGCTGCAATGTACAATGGTGTTAAACCGCTGTTCACTGCTTGATCTTTGTCAGCACCAACTTCCACCAAATGACGGACAACATCAAGATGGCCGTTCTGAGCTGCAATGTGCATTGGTGTTGCACCGCTATTTGTGGTTTGATCTTTGTCAGCACCAACTTCCACCAAATGACAGACAACATCAAGATGGCCCTTGCTAGCTGCAATGTACAATGGTGTTGCACCGTTATTCGGTGCTTGATCTTTGTGAGCACCAACTTCCACCAAATGACGGACAACATCCAGATGGCCCCTCTCCGCTGCAATGAACAATGGTGTTGCACCGCTATTCTGTGCTTGATCTTTGTCAGCACCAACTTCCACCAAATGACGGACAACATCAAGATGGCCGTTCTGAGCTGCAATGTGCATTGGTGTTGCACCGCTATTTGTGGTTTGATCTTTGTCAGCACCAGCTTCCACCAAATGACGGACAACATCCAGATGGCCCCTCTCAGCTGCAAAATGCAATGGCGTCATCCTTTGATTTCCCGGTGGGTCTTTTTCAGCACCTGCCTCAAGCAACAGCAGCATGCTTTCAACATGTCCGCTCCTGGCAGCATAGTGCAATGGCGCGTTGGCACGTTCATCTGTGACATTGGGATTGGAAGGGCTATTGAGGAACTTTTCCAGGGCGATCAAATCATTGTACTTAGATGCAGAGATGACTTGTTCGTTTCGCTGGGCATCAGCTGGATAAAAATCCAATACCACCATGTGAATCTTCACTGGAGCGGAGGTAAAAACCTCATCATCTGGGATCTCAGAACCATCTTCGGAGAAGAGTCGTTGTTTGAATCTGGTGACACCAATCTGAACTGCCAAGGCTTGTTTCACAGCCTTTGCAATCTTTCCTTCGAATTCATCCGGGGCAAGGGTTGCCAGAGTCGCACCTGACAGAAAACACACCTCCATCGCGGCATTGGCTGAAATGCAAACAAGCTGTAGTTATCGAAGGAAGTTTAGAAGTCAAACTTCCGACAATATGGACAGATGAAAAGCAGAGCAGGGAAGAGGCAGAGAGAAGAGAAAGATCAGAAGAGAGAGGATTAGAAGAGAAAGAGTAAGAAGAAAGAAGATGGAGATGCGCGAAAAGGTAGGAAAGTCGCGATCCACTGTGTTTTTCCAATGATTTGGGGCTCCGGAGGGTCGAAAGTAAGCTCGCTAAAGCGGCGGGTGCGGAGCCAGCTGGCCAAGAGGAGAGATGAAAAATTGCACGCCGTTGTGGCGCGAAGCACATTTCGAAGTCAAAATGTACAAAGCACACCATTTTCGGACCACTTTTCGAAAAAGTGCACGCCGTTGTGGCGCAAAGCACACTTCGAAGTCAAACGCACAAAACACCACATGTTCGCGCCTTTTTTGGAAGTTCAGATGTCGAAAAGGTGCACGCCGTTGTGGCGCGAAGCACATTTCGAAGTCAAAATGTACAAAGCACACCATTTTCGGACCACTTTTCGAAAAAGTGCACGCCGTTGTGGCGCAAAGCACACTTCGAAGTCAAATGCACAAAACACCACATGTTCGCGCCTTTTTTGGAAGTTCAGATGTCGAAAAGGTGCACGCCGTTGTGGCGCGAAGCACATGTCTAAGTCAAAATGTACAAAACACCTCAGCCTCGGACCACTTTTGGAAGTTGAGATGGAGAAAAAGTGCACGCCGTTGTGGCGCGAAGCACATTTCCAAGTCAAAATGTACAAAACACCTCAGCCTCGGACCGCTTTTGGAAGTTGAGATGTCGAAAAAGTGCACGCCGTTCTGGCGCGAAGCACATTTCGAAGTCAAAATGTACAAAACACACCATTGTCGGACCACTTTTGGAAGTTGAGATGTCGAAAAAGTGCGCGCCGTTGTGGCGCGAAGCACATTTCCACGTCAAAATGTACAAAGCACACCATGTACGGACCATTCTTGGAGGTTCAGATGTCGTTTCGCGTGGCAGGGGCAAGGGATTGTGGACCTTGTCAAAAGTGAGCAAAACGTGAGGGTTTGGTAACATTTTCAACTACAACCACCACTACATTACACTACACTCCTATACATTACACTACACTACAACTACAACTACACCTTCACTACATTCTACTACACTACACTCCACTACACTACACTGCACTCAATTACACTCAATTACACTACACTACGCTACATTACATTACACTACACTCCACTCCACTACACTACACTACATTACACTACACTATGTTACACTACACTACACTACACTACTTACACTACACTACACTACACTACACTACACTACACTACACTACACTACACTACACTTCACTACACTACACTACACTACACTACCTTCCACTACCTTCCACTACCTTCCACTACACTACACTCCACTACACTTCACTACATTCCACTACACCCCACTACACTACACTCAATTACACTACACTACACTACATTCCACTACCTTCCACTACACTACACAACACTACACTGCACTACACTACACTACATTCCACTACACTACACTACCTTCCACTACCTTCCGCTACCTTCCACTCCACTCCACTCCACTCCACTCCACTCCACTCCATTACACTACACTACACTACACTACACTACACTACACTACACTGAATGACACTGCACCACAGATAGACAGGTAGAGAGATAGACAGATAGATAGATAGACAGATAGACAGGTAGACAGATAGACAGATAGACAGGTAGACAGATAGACAGACAGACAGACAGATAGACAGATAGATAGATAGATTTATAGATAGCTAGATAGATAGATAGATAGCTAGATAGATAAATAGACAGACAGATAGGTAGTCAGAGAAAGAGACAGAAAGAGTGAGAGAGATCAGTCACCTTTCGATCCATCAGTGGCTTCGCTCTGCCATCCCTGATTCACCACAACCAACCTCTACTATAGGTTTCCTATTTTTGAAACTTCCGCCACCGCCTTGTGCGGTACTACTGGGACAGTTCAATAAAACCCAAGAAAGTTCTGATGAAGCAATTTGCAAACTACAATCCACATATTATGTTTGCTGAGTTTCTTGCCATCAACGAACGCACCGTCGACAAGAAACATCAATGGCATGGGCATGGTGCTTTCCCTGCAAACATCAAATAGACATGACGACTTTCTACCCAAATAATATGCGGAAAAAAAAGGAGGGCCATGAACACGCATAAAGTTGTGCAAGTAGTTCTAGGTTTCCATTTGCAAATGTTTGTCCCACCCATGTAACCAAACATACTTTCTACAATGAATTATCTAGTTCGTAAATTGGGATGGATTCAAACGCATGACACAATTGCAAGGATGATCCATGAGCAACCAGCTATTTCGATCTGATGGGGATCGATATCCAAGTCACGCTGTTGTCTGCCGCCTTTCTGGCTGCGTTTCTCCGGAGAAATGATCAGAAAATGACCCAGGCCGCGTGACATGGGTGTGATCCAAGAATGACCAACTGAATAGAGATGATGATCAAACACGAGATCAAACATGAGATTTTGGACCATGTGATCTTGAGACAAACATGTACTCAAACAAGCTCCCTTAATCACTTCCTCATTTCACCAAATGCTTGGTCCAACTCCCTCGGAAAAATACGGAAAAAACACAGGCCTAGCCGATAGGATCCAAACGAAAAATGTGGAACGATATTGTCCCAATAAGCAGCCGATATTGCATCGAAACCATCGGATGCTCACACATAGGTCCACACATCTATAGACACTGGAAGGGGCTCCCTAATTGTCTAACTTAGCTTATAACTAGGCGAACTAGAATTTATGGTGCAGACATCATATCTATAGGTTTCTATAGGTAGAGTTAGATAGGGTTATGAACCAACTTAAAATTTGGGGGGCCTCTTCCTGTAGGTTTCCGTTCTCAAAGTGGGAAAATCCAGCTAGCCGCCAGCCATTCACTTTTTTTTCATATTTTTCTCTCTGCATAAATATTACAGTTTGTTTTTCCCCGTGAAACTCAGGATGTTCAATATGGATTGACCAGCCACTGAACAAATGCTGGAAATCATCAGCCACCGGTTCCAAGGGGGATTCGATTGCAGGTGAATAATCTCCACATGATCGGTTTAGTAACCCAGGATCCGCATCAGCCATGTTCTCTTTGGATAATCATGGAGCTCCCCCAGGTGAGTTGCTGGAATCCCCATGATGCTGTGATCTCCACAGCATCTGGACAAGTCAAGTCTGTTGATGTGTTAACACTCCGTTTACGCGACAAAAAGTCCACTGTTGAGACACACCACTCTTGTTGACTAAATCAGTTCTCCTTTAATCAAAGGAACGGATACGTGCCATGCAATACCCTTTCCCATGCAAATTTATTGGCTTCGTAAAGATTTCTATTGGTTGTAGGGATGCCCATGAAACTGCGCCCCGTATTAAAACCCAACATTTATCACCAACCAATTATAATTTATGAAATCATATCCCCATATGATCGTTAAGTCCAATAAACCACCCGAAAAGTGAGAGTTAAAATCCTTATAACCCCTTTCCCTTTACAAAGACACCCAAGAAACCATTTTTTTTAAATAGAAAATTCACACATATTAGGCACCATTTAGCCTCTGGTAAACGTTTACATAACTATGGAAAATCACAATTTTTAATGCGAAAATCATCTATAAACGGGCCATTTTCCATAGCTATGTAACAAATTACAAGAGGGTAGCTGGTGTTTCTAACAGCTTCGCCATGGCCCGTATTGGCGCCTGCGGTGTATTCCACCACCTGTCCCTGGCCGTTGAAGCGCAGGGAGCAGGCCTCCGGTGGGCTCTCGAACGCCTGGCGCGGGAGGTGTTGAACTGGCTGTAACTGGCTGAAAAATGGGGTTTAACCAACAAAAATGGGATTAGAAATGATTAGAAGGTGAAAATGAGGATTACCAGTAGTACCGCACAAAGCGGTGGCGGAAGTTTCAAAAATAGGAAACCTATAGGAGAGATTGGCTGTTGTGAATCAGGGATGGCAGAGCGAATCCA